GTTGGCGATGGCGGATGGTAGTGATGATGTTGGGTAGTGGTTTTCGTGGGTGGTCGGTGGGGGTGGTGGAGGTTGGTGGCGGTGACGGGTGGTGGTGGTGGATGATATTGTTTGGGTGGTCAGTGATGTTTGTTAGTGAGTTTTTAATTTTTTTTTTACTTATTTCTTGGTTTATATTAATATTATATGATGATTTTAATTAAAAAAATTTGTATGGTCAAAATTTGTTCTCCAACGTTCTCATAATAAGAAATGTTCTCGATTGAACGCTTCCCTATATACAGTGGCGGATCCTTTAAGGGGCTAGGGGAGGCCATGCCCCCCAGGTTTTTGGCATAACATTTAATATCATAAGGAAGATAAACTAAATTTTCAGAATTTCAAAGCCAAATCATAAAATGAAAATCAAACCGAACTATAAAAGCAAAGTTTTAGCAAATCATAACAACGATTGAGGTATTATCGGAATTTCTGTAACATTGAATTCTTATAAAAAAACAAAAATCCTAACTAATTTTGGAATCTACCAAAATTTCTATAAAATCTAGAAAAAATTAAAAACCAAATCTCAAACATTTGTAAACTCAGAATACCTAACAGATGGACTCCGTCTCTAGTTACCGCCTAGGGTTCGTGTTGTCACTCGTTCGACGGCGGCAATATGGTTTGACGGAAATTGTCCCTCCCATCACCAGTCGAAGTCGGAGTCACCGGCGTCTCGCCAGTCGGCTTTCTGGATCGATGTATGTCCTCCTATTGACTAATTCTTGCATACTCACTCACTCGCGCCATATCTCTATTTCTATCTTTTAAGGTGTGTTTTTTTTTATATGAAATTAATATTCATTGCTTCTCTTTTAAAGCTACCATTTTTCTCTTTCTATGTGCTCTCATGAAGGCAAAAAGCTTTGGGAACATAAGAAAGACTTAAGATTATTTGCCTAGTACCTTCCCCAAACATATATATATATTCGATTAATATATTTACTTATTTACTTGTTAGCTGTTATAAACTAGATTATAAATTTGTTTGGAAATAAATAAACTATGAGATTATTACGTTNTATTTACTTGTTAGCTGTTATAAACTAGATTATAAATTTGTTTGGAAATAAATAAACTATGAGATTATTAAGTTTGTTTATGTTTAGGTTGTAATCGTCCATGTTCATTAGGATTATGATATGTGATTTAATAAATAATTCATGCTTTTTAATTTTGATGTACTCATCTTTTCGATTATTAAATTGTTTGGAGATAAACAAAAACAGAAGCAAATTAAAAGGTTTTGTTAGAATAAAAAATCATAATATAAAGACTTTCAAAAAAACATTTATAAAATATGTTTTTTCTCATATTCATCAAAAACCTACATTGTAATTATCTTATCATTAATAAATTTTATTTTTATTTTAATTTGTCATACAAATTAATTTATTTCGTTATATATCCTTCGGCCCCTCATACTCTAATGCCCGTGTTCCGCCCCTGGTTGTAAAAACTAATTAAACTAAAAGCCGTTCAAAAAAATTAAACTAAAAATGATAATAGCGTAATTATTACTCCCTCCGTCCCATATTAATAGTCCATGTTCCTTTTTGGTTTGTCCCAAAATAATTGTCTACTTCTAAAAATAAACATGTATTTTACCATAATATCCCTCATTGTTAGTTAAATTACAATAAAATTAAATGCAACTACCATAGAATTAAATGCAACAGAAGGGTAAGTCTGTCATTTTATTTAATAAAGTTAATGGTAATTAATATTTTCTTACACTGTGTGTTTTTTGTCTGTGGACTATTATTTTCGGACGGAGGGAGTAACATTTAGTGGTAATTTATGAAATTGTTTTTTATTTGCTAAATCTAAGAATAATGGTATTTTCGAGAAAATAATTTATTTATAATTAAAAAGAAACCAAAAAGTTTTATGCCTTGACCAACTTTGCGTGGCATTGCAGCAGCTTATATTCCGATTATGGCCTCCTTATATTCCTTCCGTCCAATCGAAACCCATGCAGAAACAAGCAAAAAATGGAAGAACAAGTTGAAATGGTGGGAAGGGCATTTGTGGAACATTACTATCATTTGTTTGATACTGATAGGTCCTCTCTTGCTTCCCTCTACCATCAATCCTCTATGTTGACTTTTGAAGGTCAAAAGCTACAAGGTGGTGATAATATCTGTTCCAAGATAAACCAGTTGCCTTTCGATAAATGCCATCATCTCATTAGCACTATTGACTCCCAACCCTCCTCGTTTGCCGGCGGCATTGTGGTGTTTGTTAGCGGCAGCCTCCGACTTGCTGACGAAGACCACCCTCTTCGGTTTAGTCAGGTACGTACTGGTGGCTTCAATAAGAAGTACCATCAATTTTGATTCAGTTACTTATATAATATGTAGTTTAATAATCTGTAATCACATTTAATGGCTTAATTAGATATATTTAACTTTAAAATGGACTACAATTGGTGATGAACCCAAATCGTTCTCTATTATAGGAAATAACTTGTTTTGATATTCGATCCATCAATTTTGCAACCTTTAGCTTAAATCTTTTTTGTGAAAGAACTACATAACATCAGTATATCACATAATTGCAAAGGATTATTTTATTTCAATTAAATCATATTAAGATCTGTTCCTCTTTATTTTCGTATAAGAAAAATGACGTAATTAATTTCTACAAATCCTGAACTCTGTCTTCATGATTTCCTTTTATCTTTAATTATCTCTTCAATAAGAAAATGAAGGGAGAAACACCAAGGTCTCCAAGTTGTTTGCTCTTATGTTGACGTAATGAATTCGATAACTTTGCTATTGTTATACCTCTTAGACTTTTACATAATAGATTACTCTATATAATATTTGCTAGGGAAAATGACTTAGGAGGGTAACTACTTCTTATCCGTGTTCACATATTGACAACTATTTTTTTTGTACATAAGAAAGCAACTAACTTGTTTTAACTGTTTAAAATTACACAAATATTACCGGCTAATACCTGTTTTAACCGGTAACTCAAAGGGAAAATGACTTAGGAGGGTAACTACCTCTTATCCGTGTTCACATATTGGCAACTTCTTCTTTTTTGTATATAAGAAAGCAACTAACTTGTTTTAACTGTGTAACATCCCAAAAATCATGACCAAAAATTTCGTTTTTAATTTAATACTAAAACCATAATTGTCAAACCATTAATTTAATACTCTGGCATCGGGCCCCGCCCGGCATCAGGCTCCGCCTGGCATCGAGCCCTGCTCGGTATACAGATCTGTCTCGCTTAGGCCCCGCTTGTCTCCGGGCCCCGCCCGCTAAACACATACAATCATATAACATGATAACACATAAAGAAACATACTCTA